AGGGGCAGGGGTGTGGATAGGGGTCGGGGCAGTCAGGGGACTGGGAGCAGGGAGGTTGGATAGGGGGTGGGTTCCCAGGGGGGATGGTTAGGGGTGGGGGGGTCCCACGAGGGGGCGGTCAGGTGACAAGGAGCAGGGGGGATTGGATGGGTCAGGGGCTCTGAGGGGGGCAGTCAGGGGGCGGGAAGTGGGAGGGGGTGGATAGGGGACAGGGAACAGGCTGTTTGGGGAGGCAGAGCCTTCCCTACCTGATCCTCCATACAGTTTTGCAACCCCAATGTGGCCCTCGGGCCAAAAAGTTTGCCCACCCCTGCACTAGATAAATATTAAATAAAAAATAAACACAGCTTAAAACCTTCCTAGCCTGGGCTGGATTTAACATAGTTGTTTTGCAGGGGGAGCATTGTCTATTTACAATATAGTCAAGGAAAAGACTGGCATGCCCAAATTCATCATTTCCACCTCGCTGTGGGAAGGTGCAAAGAAGCTGGGTTGTGTGGGAGGAGAGCAGTATCTGTGATAATTGGAATGGAGAATGAAATTGTGAGCAAGCACAGAGAGAGGTAAGTAGGTTTCTGTTTCATTGTGAAGCAGTAGACACTGTTCCTCTCATCTGAAATGCAAACCAAAGATCCTCTGCTAAGTGATTCACACAAACACGAGCCCCACGTCTATCAGAAATGTCCCCTGCCTGGGCTTTTATGCCTGAAGTCAGCGCACTTCCTATGCAATTAATTTAGACAGAAGTGTTTGGGAAAAGCTCCATTTTCTGACACCTCCTGTGCTCTGAAGGTGTAGGGGTTTCCTGGGTACTTAGAACAAGTGTAGGAATAAGCTGGAGGTGCTAGGAAGACTTCAAAGTAATCCTCCTGTTGCTGCGTAACCCCCCGCTACCCTACAACCAGCCAAAGAATCAATCTGCATCATTAACTTCTAACCCATCTGGGGCTCCAAAAGACGTAAGGTCTGTATTACCTACACCGAACACCCCTCACTGCTCCCAGCGTGGTACTTCCAGAATGCAACACGACCTTGACTTCCAAACCGTGGATGGTCTGGGACCGACTGCGTCGGCACCAGTGCATGGTGCTCTGGGAAAACACATTGGGGACAGCCAGATCCTGGCCACCGGGTGCTGATCTCAGTCACCCCAGCTTTAGTTTAAGCCAGTGGGATTGCACCAAACTAAATTGCTCCTGATTTACACTAGGGCCAGGGTAGAATCTGGCACTAGCCTTCGGGACGAATCACACAGCCAGAAGTTAGATTGTAAGGATGCAGCAGGTTTGCTAGGGCAGACACTTGAGCAGTCTCTGCTGGGATTCAGTGCTGTCTCTCCTCTCTACGCGCTGTCTTAGCCAGGCCCATCAGTGACTAGAGTCCACAAATCCCTGGGGTGCGCTGCGGGGTCCATTGGGCCTCGCCGTTAGCTTAACATCGGCTGAAGCTGTATCTAAACAGTCCCGTTATACATGGCCTGTACTGACAGGACGGATCAGTAATACAGCAGGTAACAGGGACTAGCACAGAAGCCGCTGTCTGGAATATTACCCAGCCAGTGTCCGCTTTTCCGCCCCGCGCGCACACACGTCTTACCTCTTATGTTCACAACAAAGACGTCCCACTCTCCTCCCCACTTCCCAATCAGCAGCTCCAGAGAGAGCAACTCTCCAGACGGTTATCTGGTTCCCAGAGGACTGGAGGCACTCAGCTCCCTGTGTGCCCATAATGGCCCAAGGCCAGTGATTATCTCCTGATAACCTGGAGTGCTGTGCAGCTTAAATAACAACTTGACTTTTACATTTTAAAACTTACTCTTAGGTTGCTTAGAAACGGCCTCTGTTTCCATGGCAAAGAATCCCGGGGTTAATCCAGGGGGTTGGATTTTTTGTAAACTTAAATGTGATTTTATTGAATTGTGCTTGGCGCAGGTGGCTGTTTTAGTGCACTTCAGCCCAGCCTGCGACTGACAGCTGTCAATACGTGTCCAATAAACTACAGCCCTCAAACCCAGGCGAGGGGGGAGGGGGGGCTTTACTGCTCAGCAATCAACCTGGGGAGCTAAAAGGTCCAAAAATAGCTTCTGCTTGCTCCAGTGGCACTGAACAATTTATCAGCTTGGTGCAGAGCAGCGCTGGGCTAGTCTGCTGGCTTGCCTTTCCCCACTGATGAGCTTAGCCCTGCCAAGCACCAGGGCCAAGGTGATCAAGGCTGGCAAAGCGGAGGATGACTCTGGCTCCTAGCTTGCCTCTGTTAAATGTCCAATTAAAGAGAGCCCTGCCCTGCTGCCAGGGCCCTACCGGAGAAGGAACAGGGAAAGGCGGCCTTCCAGGAGTCTCCTGCCCCTTTACCCACCGTGGTAGCAGGCCAAGGTGGATTCAGAACCATGCAGCTTCCCCCACCCTTCCCCATGGCTATTACAGGGACAATAACCCTGGCCTGGGCATAGTCACCAGCTGACAGCCACCTTGTCACACTGTTGGCTGCCCCATATCCCCCCCCTCAGCCATGCCGTGACTCACCTTTTGCCAGATGCCATTTCTGCCTGCTAGGCACTGTGCGAAAACGCAGTCCCCAAACTCACTTTCTCTCACTAGTTCAACTCCCGGCTCCCACCTTAGGATCAAACAGCCTCCCTAGGGCAGGGTGATGTTCCAGATGGATCGTCCTGCACTTGCTTTGTGCAGCTACCCTTCCCTCTCCCACCCCTCCGACCCCTGCGCTCTTCTCTTGGGTGGGTGTTAGCACTCCCAGCTGGCATGCAGCATGTCAGAGGCGTTGCACCCGATTGCCCTATGACTCCTGCAGTCCCTTGTAACCTTGTGATACTTTAAATCTGACCCTCGGTCTTGGCAGGTCATAAATCACGTGATACGAGTAAGAATCCAATAACCCAATCGTTAGCGATACTTAGAGCTGGAACGTGCCCCTGCCCCAGCTGGTTCCAGTCAGCACGCCAGGGTTACGGCTGCCTGGGCGTTCTAGTTACAACCCTGCTTTTCAGCTGCACCGTAACATTTTGAATTTTGGATCCAATCGGCTGGTAATTTTCAGACTTGCCCCCTGCCTCAACGTGAAGGGATCTGGTGTGAAAGGCAGAGTCGGACGGCTGCCGGGGCTATTTTCAAGCACTAGGGAATAAGGGAAAATACTTTCCTCGTTACTTTATAGATCTATCGATATAGATTATCCATTTTTAATTTTAAAAGAGCTCTAGTGCTGAAACGTCTGGTGACAGGAAGCTGAAGTCTGGAACCGTGCCTCCCATTGTTCTGGGGGAAACTGGTTTTGAGTTACCCAGGTTCTGTCCCTTTGAAAACAGTACATCATGCATGCCTCATGGTCTCTACTGCTAGTGGTACAGTTAACTGTGAACCCCGCGTCCCAAAGCAAGGGAGGCGGTGCTACACAGGACTGAACTACATTTTCTTATAAAAAGCCTGCCAAGGTTTGTGCATTGAACGAGACTCATGAAACCTTCAAGGGCTGAGATGTGCACAGATCAAATCTTCACATGCCCGGGCATGACACTAACCTCCAGCTGGCCACCAGAGCTAGGTGTGCACTCAGGGAGCTGGCCTTGCCTTGTTCAATAAAAGTGTAGGGAATGACTGGAGCTCCCGGGGGGGGCAGTCCAGATAGTGCCCGCTCCTGGGTACCTTGATCTTCAAAAGAAAACTAAAATGGCAGCATGAGGGGAACACAAAGGCTACGTGGCCAACCGTCAAGTCAGGCACTGTTGGAGTTAAAGGCTACATGTGCCCTTAATTCCGCTCTCCTCTGTGCATGCCATACAGCAGCCTCTAAGGACCTGATCACAACTTAGGTCCCTAATTCAACATATCCCTGTTTTATTCCACAGCGTTTTAAGGTGCTCCAGGAACGATTAAAGCACCAAACGTACTGCTAAAACCTGGAGTTAAGCTTTCTGCCCCAGCACAGCTTACAGAGAGGAAAGGGGCTCCCGCTAACTCGGGGGATTTGGCCCACAGATGACAAATCCATTGGAGACAGGGACTGGAGCCTGCTGAAAAGGACAACAGCCACCAAGGTAAAAATAACCCCCCATTCCCCAGCCCATCAGTACAGATTAAGAGGGGAAGGCTGCAGTTTCTGAGAGAGCTTAAATCTGCACAGCTTCCCTCTCTGGCAGAGCTGCTGGCCAACTGCACAAAAGCTTTTCATGCTGTGCCCTGTGCTCAGGGGAAAGCTGCCTGCTAGTTTTCTCCCTTTTAGGAATATTCTACCCTATAAACTCACAATGCCAGCTGCTTTCTGCCTGTTGTGTGAGACCCAGGCTAACACTGGGGGGGGGAGGGAGGGAGAGGCTAGTTCCACAGAGAGAGGGAAGCCTCTGTCCCTTTCCTCCAGCAGAAAAATGAACCCCTGTTCTTATTCACCCTGTGTATTCTGTAGCTGGGCAGATCTCATTGACTGAGACCTTTTGTCTGCTCTCCAGGTGGCACAATAGAGCAGCAGTGATTTTTCACTGCAGCAACAAGCTTGCAACTCAACGGAGGGCAGGATCTGGTCTAGCTTGAAGTATAATTTGTGTGAACACTTTGTAGATGTTAGTATATGTGCACCTGAGCCACTTCGGCAGCTCACAGGGGTGGCGGGGGGAGGTGGGGGTTTGCCAGGAGCCCCTGAAGATGGGGAGGGAGCTTGT